CTGCTGATGATCACTTTGCGGGCAGTGGGATCCCACAAGCGATACCCCTTTACTCCATCAGCATACCCCAAGAATTTGTATTTCCTGGATTTTGGATCCAACTTTGCAATTTCTTGGGAGTTGTACATCACGTACACTATACTTCCAAATACATGGAGGTTTGAATAATCAGCTGGTTTACCAGTCCACATCTCCATTGGTGTCTTCAGCTCTATTGCAGTTGATGGAGCTCGATTCACCAGAAAACAGGCGGTATTGACTACTTCTGCCCAGAATGATTTTTCTAGGCCTGCATCCCTCAACATTGATCTTGTTCTTTCTAACAAGGTTATGTTCATCCGCTCTGCCACTCCATTTTGTTGAGGAGTGTTCGCCACTGTGAACTGTCTTTTGATGCCTTCTTTCCTGCAAAAGTCATCAAATTCTTCACTTGTGTATTCTCCTCCATTGTCTATTCTGAAACATTTGATCTTATTTCCAGAATCAAGTTCCACCCGCGCTTTGAAGTTTTTGAAAGTGGAAAACACATCTGACTTCTTCTTAATAGGGTACACCCAACATCGCCTGGAGTAGTCATCAATAAATGAGACAAAGTACTTTGCTCCGCCTAGAGATGTAACTGGTGCTTGCCATACGTCAGAGTGAACCAATTCTATAACACTTTTGCCTCTAGAATTTGATGTGTTGAATTTCAACCGGTGCTGCTTACTTGTTATGCAATGCTCACACAAAGTAAGTGATACCTTTGTTAAGCCTGGAAGTAGCTTTTGCTCCACAAGGACTTTCATTCCTTGTTCTGACACGTGTCCAAGTTTCTGATGCCATAGCATTTCAGAATCTGAACTACATGAGGCAACAGAGGCTTCTGCTTCTAGCAAAGTCTCTCCCTTCAGCATGTACAAGTTTGCTGCTATCTTTTCTCCTTTCAGCACCACAAGCGCTCCACGTAACACCTTCATGATTCCTTTTCGTGTTTCAATCTTGCTAGCATTATTATCCAACAATCCGTAGGATAATAAATTTTTCTTCAGGCCTTTCACGTTCCGCACATCTCGAATAACTTTAATTGTTCCATCATACATCTTCAATTTGATGGTTCCCACGCCAATGATCTCTAAGGCATGATCATTACAACTATACACAGATCCTCCTGAGACAGGTTCATAATGATGGAACCATTCTCTTCTTGAGGTCATGTGATATGTTGCTCCTGAATCAATGAGCCATATATCTGCATATTTCTTTCTACCTTCCACGGTGGTTGACGCTTCACAGCATAGAGCATCTCCATCATCTGAAGTGTTTGCGATATTACCTTGTGAATTGGAGTTTTTATTGAGACTCCAATAATCCTTCTTCAAGTGACCCTTCTTTCCACAGTGGTAACACTTTAAATTCTTCTTGCTCCTCGACTTTGATCTACCATGTTTATGACTGCTGCTTTGGCCATGTTCTGTTGATCTCACTCTCATCGTTGTCATCGTTGTTAACGCTTCTGCTTGTTGCAGATTTACTTGTCTGTCTTCTTTGTTCTTGCGCCAATTTTCTTCTTGTAGAACAGCAATTGCAACGTTATCGAAGACTAGACTGATGACATTACTGTTTGTCAAGTTGATGATGAGTTGTCATATGAATCAGGTAGACTTTGAAGTAGAAGTTCAGCACGTTCTTGTTCTCCTATTTTACAGCTTAAGGATGCAAGCTGAGAAAATAAAGTGTTCAGTGTATTTAAGTGCTCCGTCACTGAAGTAGATTCTGGCATACGGAGAGTGTACAATTTTCTCTTACGGAAAATTTTATTGTGCAGCGATGTGGCCTCGTATAATTTGGTGAGATGATCCTATATCTCCTTAGTTGTCTTCTTCTCCTCGATGCTTGACAATACTTCATCTGCTAATGCTAGATGAAAGTTTGCCATAGCATTCTCGTCCATTTCGATCCATTTGTTGTCATCTGTGAAATCTACCAGCCTTTCACTTATAGCTGCTAGACAACTGTCTTTCCTCAGGATGGCCTTCATCTTCAATTTTCACAATGAGAAATTTTTCCCATTGAATTTTTCAATATCAAATTTCGTTGCCATAGCTTCTTTTACAGATAGCTCCCACTATTTCACTATCGTGAATAGTTCTCTGGAACCTTCAAAGAATGGGTAATAACTTCTTACTTTCTTATGTTGGAGGATCCACCTTTTGGTGACAACCACAAAGACAATAAGCAGATATTACACACTCAAATCTGGCTCGGATACCAATTGTTACGGAAGACGGCTATCGGATAGAGCAAAATCACAACTGATAATTTGAGAAAATAAAAATGAAGATAAAAGAGACACAAAATTTATGTGGAAAACCCCCTAAATAATATAGGGTAAAAACCACGGGAAACGGTAGAAGAATTTCACTATGAGAAAATAGGAATTACAACCTCTCTCGATCTACCAAGGAGAAAACAATGATAATTCTCTCTTGATAAAAAGGAGAAAACAACTCTCAAGAAACTCTCTAAATTCTCTCTAGTATTGGAAGAAAGATTGAATGCTTTGGGATGGTTTTGAAGCTAAATGAGCTAGGGTATTTATAGTTGAAACTTAAGGACTAATTTGTAAATACCCTAAAATACAATGACTAATTTTTAGCAATTTTACTATAAAAAATAATAAAAAATTATTAGTCAAAGCCACCGGCTGTTAACACTAGCAGCCCATGTGGTTTTTTCAACACGTTCATCGGTCGGCGGGATTAAATCGTCGCCTCGCTCACAGATTTTCATTTGACCCTTTGGTGTCAAGAATGGAGAGGTGGACGGAAGACGGCAGAGAATTGAACGAAAACATTAGTGATAAGTATTTCTAAGATGATGGGATTTTAAACACCACCTTAAGGCTGATGAGTTTGTTCCCATTGTTGGACAATGCACCGAAAGATGGTAGAATCAGTTCCCAGGAGCTGGTGTTTGGATTAGCCAGCAGACCATTGATTGTTTGAGTTTTAGAACGAACAAATTGATGTCTTGGCATGATAAAAATGGGGATTGGGCCATCAGCTTCAGCGAGTATCTTCCTCAATTTAACCAGGAAGATATAGGTAAACCCTTGTTCTATTTTGGGTTAAAATGTTTTTTTATATATATAATGATACAATTACTCCTAACGTTTATACAAATGATTGTTTTGTATCATTTTTTTTAGCATTTTATCTACTAACGTTTTAATTTTTAATCAATACATATCATATTGGATAGAAACCGTTAATTGACTAACAGTCAACCCATGTTAATCACGTCAAATATTCATGTGTCCAATTGCAAACATGATACATATCACGTCATTATTTTTAATGATGTGACATATATCATTCATCACTTTTGATGAAGTGACACATGTCATGACATCACTTTGGCTGACTTGTCACATGTCATATCATCAATTGAACATATGTGAAAATATAACGTTAGTAATATGAATTGATTGTTAATCAACTAGTGGTTTCCATCTAATAAAATTTATTTTTGATAAAAAAAATTGAAACGTTGGAGTTAAATTGCTAAAAAAAATGAGATAAAGTAACCATTTATACAAACATCGAAAAGTATTTATATGGCTATGCCATGTTTTTTCTCTACAATTGCATGCATTTGACAATTTTTTGGTAAATTTGACTGAAATAGAAAAAAAAATCAATGGAAATGGTGATGCTGGGTGGTGGGGGGAGCAATTCAAGAATGCAGATGAGGATTCCGGTGGGAATATTGATTTCAAAGAGTAAATGCTTGTTCCGTTTCGCCATGCTTGCTTGTTTTGATGAATGCAGTTTAACCAAACTTTCTTCTTCTTTTTTTCTCCATTTGCCCAGTTTCTTACACCCGGAAGATAGCGACAATGGTGAAATCCAGAGATGGATGTTAAGGGAAAAGATGAAGTTAGTTTTCTTTCATTTTTGTTAAACGCATAATGTCAGAGTCCACTAATAATAATTTTAATTTTTATATTTTTTCAAGTACTTTTGTCCCAATGTTTTATTTTGGAGTGAAATGATCTCTGATTAGATTGAAATAATTAATTGATTAACGATTAATACATATTAATTTTCGTTGATGTGATAAGTCTTATGCGTATAAAATAATAATGTGCTAGTGTCATATGATCGTTTTGGACACGTAGTATGATTCACGTCATCACTTTCGGCATATAAGATTTACTATGTTATCATTTTCGACATATAATATATGTCACGTCATCACCTTCGACACACAAGATTTGTCACGTCAGTGACATTTGTTGATTGTTGGTAAGTTAACAATTTTCATCTAATCAGATAATGGTTTATCTTAAAATGAAAAGTTAAGAGTTGAAGTGTTTCGAAAAAGAAAATCAAAATAAATATTCAGTCAACTTTTAGAGACAATTTTCAATATTATGCACTTCTAAAATTGTGTCTGTTTGAGCGGAGTACTTATCTAGCGAGTCGATTGCGAGTTGATTATCTCGACTCGTGTTCGTTAAAAAAAATTGTTACTCAACTTGTTATTCGTTAAAAAAATCATTAAGGTCTTGAGTTTGAATCAAGTCAATTCAAGTCAAGCATTGACCGAGTTTTGACCAAGCCGAGTTTGAATACTTCACGAGCTGTTCAACTCATTAATAACTCTATTTGAGCTAGTTAGCATTTGAGTGATATATTTGATGAAATAGATGAATGGACGACGATCACGATGGACAACTGAATCTGAATGAATTTTTTTTTTGAAGGATAATCTGAATGAATTTAAAGAGCACACATAGGGGATTTACAAAAGCTATGCGGATTTTGAAAAATCTGCAGCTCTTACCCCTACTGCTGAAGAAAAATTTGCAGAGCTAGATATGGACAAGGACAAGTAAATTCCTCTTCACCCCATTGCCTTTATAAACTTGTGAATTTAAACCATCTCTTTGCAGAAAGCTGAGCATTGAGGAATTGAGACCCATACTTTGTTATCTCCACCCCGGCGAGCTGTTGAATACAAGATACCCGGAGTTCTGTTCTGGAAACCTCTTCAACTTTCTCATCCAAGAGATTATTAACCTTGTACGTATGTCACGGAACCCAAATGGTCTACAGTATTCACAAGAGCTTTGATGGCATAATCTTTCAATGTTGCTGTAACTCTGCATGTGCACGAGGAAGAATATGAAAGCAGATAAACACCAATCCCGATAGTTGAGGGTACGAGCAATGTGGAATTAGATTAACTTACATCTGCGTTTGGTCATCAGTGGCGTAGGACACCTCGAAATACTCGGCAGCCGAGTAGACCCGTGCTCTCAGGTTTTTCAAATCCTGAAATAAAGAAAATGTATCACAAGTCGAGGTCCAATGCCAACATGCATATTTTACCTTCGAAAACTATTAAATCTCCGTCAATAAAAATTCCTAGAGGATTACACCCTCTAAAGAGAGCAGTCTTAAGGGAGACCACATCGTCTCTGGAATCACCCTCCACTCGAACTACTCTATGGAGCTCATACAGACCTTTGACAACAAAATCTGATAGTTCACAGTAATATCTGCCAACCTATTAACACGCGTGATGACTCTAAACCTGACACGGGCACCTACATTGGATATTAATACACGAGGAAAGGCTGAAAGAAAGATTTTTCTCTGGAATTCTTTCACCCCCAACCTAGAATAATCTTCTCATAATATATTATCAACTTATACCGACTGCAATTCTCCGTCCAAATCAGAAGAATGAACCACCGACTGCCAACATAACCGTTTGTTACCATAAACAATACAATTGACAGAAGACACAGAATCACATTTAGTGCCTTGAGACTATCATCCAACAACGAGCTCTGCTGGATGGAAACCTCATCATAATCGGATGCTTCTCTAGGAACGGACATTGCTGCAACTGTAGCCATTAAGCATTGGACCAAGTTCAAGTTGAGGCAAAGAGGGAAAGGATAGGGCAACAAAAAGTAGCCCATTTAACATCCGACAAATGAAAACTAGAAACCAAATACAGTATATTTTAAACTGAAAAGAATCAACAGCAGCAGGTGTACCATAGATCAAATAGTAAAAGCCAGAAAGCGCTTTACCAGCTCCCACAAAAGGGAAAAAGAAATCCCATTTTGAACAACAATTAAAATGTTTAAGCTAACCAAAATAGAAAGTGGGTTTAGGAGTTAGATTGAAGAGACTGACCTCCTCTATTCTTATCCCACTTGTTGTTTTGCAGCTGCACTGCTAAGCCAATACAAATTTTATACAGGAAAAACACCTTTACTGAAGAATAGATTAGGAAAAGGAGAGAGAGAAAGAGGTTTGAACAAGTTGACCTTCATTTGATTTAGGAGTGCAAAATCACATTGGGAATCAAAATCATGAACATGGTAATCTCATTTTCGTCATTATATCATTAATGTCAGCGGGAACCACTTGCTCAGGTATGCAATGATTTTATTTTAGTCATTTTGCCATCTGTTTCATATTGGTTGATAGAGAGACCTCATTACTCTTCCCATTTGCAACTTGCAAGGGCACCAATAGGCCATAGGTCGCGTTCTATGCCCTTGTAATGGACCCCTGCTGCAATTTTAGCCTATTCCAAAATCAGTAGAATTAAGAGATGAATGGCAAGACTGATGGCCCTTGTAATATTGGACAGGTAAGGACACTAACTCAAAAAGTTAGTGAGCAATTCGAAAAAATAATAATATTCAAATTTTAATTTTTGTTAAATTAAGTTATTAGTAATATTAATATTTATATATTTTTTTAAATGAAATATAAAATTTTCATATACTTAAAATTTAGATTCGAGTTCGATCTTTTTTTCCCTTAAGATTCTCATTTTATACTCTTTTTCTCTCTCTTTTTTATTTCTTCTTTCTCTTTCCCACTTATCCTCCAAACTTAATAACAAGTTTCATCTCAATCTATTACCATGCATTATTTTTAGTTTGGAGTCGTTAGTATTTGAACTTGTGATATTTAAGAACAACAACAATTCTTTTAATCATTGAGGTAAGTTAGTTTATGCTAATTAGTTAGAAACTTAAAGAATAAAAGAAATAAAGAAAGAAATTTCTTAAATAATCATAATGTTTTTCCATTAAAAATGTGTTATGGTGAAATTAATTGATGGAGTTAAGAGTGAGCGTTTGATCGAGTCGAGTTGAGTTGAGTCAAAATATTTTGAGTTATTCGAGTTGACGAGTCCTATTTTATAACTCAAAGTTCACTTGAAAGTTTTTTTAGTCGAGTTGAGTCAAATTTTCGAGTTTCTATTTAAATTTAATTGTAAATATTTATAATATTATGATATTATTTAATTCTAATTTAAATGATTTTTTTATAACCATATGCAATACATATATATTTCTTTATATATTTTCATATGTATAGAGTCGAGGGACTCAACTCAAATTTGAAAATCAATTCACTAATTATTAAAAATTTTGAGTTTTTCGAGTTGTATTTTACAACTCGATTTAAACTTGAAATTTTTTCGAGTTTAGTCGAGTTTAGTTTATGAAATTACAACGTGAAGTCAATTCGAGTCGAATTTTTATTCATCCTTAACTAGAGCCATGTTTAGAGGAACATTTTAAAGTCTTTATTTTCTTGATCAAGCGATTCAACATTTTAAACCTATTACATGTGTAATAGATATTAAAGTAACATAAAATTTAAGTATAAATATTATAACTTAATTTGATGAGTTGTAGAATTATAAATACTTAAAAGACTGACATAATATTTAATTTACATAAAGAGGTAGTGATCCTCCAAAAATGGGTTAACTTGTATTAACTCTTTCTCGTAAGAGGTTTTTACGGCTAGAGAAACATATCTTCTTGGAATATCACAATAACAAAAAAACTCAAAGATTTTAACATATCAATTAATTTATGCACGCTTCCGCATCTATTATTTTATTCTTGATGATTTGACATAATTGAATTTAGATTTCATATATATTATGATTTGGTGTACTTTTTTAATTTACATAAAGAGGCAATTCCAAAGTCGATAACCTCTAATTATGTGTACTTTTTTTCTAGTAAATTATGTATTTAGTTATCTATTTAATTTTACGATTATGTTTTGGTTACCTAATTTTTTTTCTCAAAATCTTATCTAACATTATGTTTTGGTTCCATTTCGATCACTCGTCGTTTAAAAATAAATATAGTCTTTGATGTGACAATTTTTTATATGTTTATCAATAATAATGTGACATTATCTTATAGTGATACATGAACATCATCGTAAATTTTTAAACGGCATATGACAAAAACGTAACATTAAGTATAATTTAAAAAAAAAAGTTGAGTGATCAAAATGAAACTATAAAATTAGATAATTGACCAAATACGCACTTTATCCATTCTTTTTTTTCTCGTCAATACAGGGAAAACAAGAAGGTATCATCAAGAGCACCTTTCTCATGTGAACTTGTCAACCTACCATATAGATTTTTGTTTTTGACAACGCAAGCATCAACTTGAATAAGGAACGTATCTCAAATATTTGGATTCGAACCTAACCTATTGGATGCATGAACCAATAGGATATATATAAAATATTATAATTTAATACTAAATATGAAATTTGATCGAGTGGTTGAGATACGCCTAGTTGCTTTTGGTGATTGAATTAAAATTATGATCAAATTGATATAATGTATAATTATTTTATTTTTTTTAACAATTACATCAAATCCTTCGATAAACATTAATGACAGAGAACTTGATTTATGTTATTTAAATAGTTAGAGTTGATATTGAAATCACACTATTTTTAATTCTCAACAAATAATTGAAAGTATAAATATAGAATGCTGGAGAACTATTATGACAATAAATCTTCAAGAGAAATAATTTAAAAAAACACCATATTAACATGAGCAAAGTTGATTTCACACTTATAGTGGCAAATCCTCAAACACGGTCAACTATGGCCATTCTTTCACCATCCATGACTTCCCATACCCAACCTCCAATCCTCACCACCAACACCGGCATCCAGACTACAGCCTCCGAGGCGTCTAGACGGTACACGGGAACCATTGTTCTTCAAGGCAGGGCTCCTTGGGGGCTGGTAGATTGTTGGTACCCCACCTGAACTTGAGGAATCACAACCTGAGCCTTTCTTTGTTGATGTATTCCATTGGGGTACAAATGCTCCTTGTTGCTGCTTGTTAGAGCCTGACTTCGCACCTTGGCCTTGGCTGATTGGGTTGGGAACATATAGCTGGGGACACTGTTTGAGTCCGACAGCGGCTGCTGCGGAGTTGAGTACGAGCTTGAATATATTGGTGTCACAACGTCCATTTCAACCGTCTTTTCCGACATGTTATTGGTGGTACCAGTAGTTGTAGTAGTGGTAGGTAGTGCAATGTAAGAACCCTCTTGTAAGCCTAATTGATGAGGATGGCACGGTTGTGATGACATCCAACGCTCGAGCCAATTCCGACCCCATTGCACCTTCTCACGCTCGTTAAGGTGCACTCTGATGTCCTTGTCATTATGTAGCGGTTGCATGTAGAGTCGTTGATGATGTTGCCGTTGTTCCTCCTAATTCAACGATGTTATACCATTAAATTATATACTTTTCAATGAAGAATGTAATTTTCAGATACTTGAAATTATAATGAAATATTCATCAACCTCATAGCTATAGGCATAAGCAAGGGCTCGTTCTCTTCTCATAACGGCATCCTGTTTCTTTGGAGCACATTCCATGACTTTCCTGGAGCTCACCTGTCCACCCTCCCAATTATCAAATTTCTTCAACGGGATTTCCGCTCTAGTTCCTTCATTCCTCTTTTTTCTTTGTCGTCCCCTCTCTTCTCGAACCCTTGCCTGCACCCGTAGTCCCGTACCAATGCTTGCATGCACCGCATTGCCCCTTGAGCTTGCTTCCGCACTTTATGGCCTCTCACTAGTGCCTGCAATCTCACCAGACCCACGCAAAGCTCTCCGAGCCTACAAAATCAGACTCAAATTGTGGTATTGCTCAATGATTTTGCTTGATAGGCTTACAATTGTTTGAATTACTCGGTTGTGTATTGAATGATTTTACCAGGTAGCCTCTGTAATATGACTGTATGAGAGTTGCAGCTCTTTCTTCCTTGGTATAGCGTCCAAAACCAGCCAATTGGACAACTTAGGCAGCATCTTGAGCAGCTGCTGCGGCAGCAGTAGTTCCCTCGGCCACGGCCATGCTGTGGCTCCTATCTTCATTTAGACTTGACGTTTCACTCTAGTCGTTTGTGATGTCGGGTGAACTCTCTGCCGGAAAATGTTCAAACGAGTGAACGACACTACTTCCGGGGCATCGTTTGGCCATTTCTCCACACTCTCTTTCTGAAAATCATGCCCCTATGAACATTACCCAATGGATATTTTGTTTAAGAAAAAGTTTACGGTGCATATTATTATTGATACGACAATGCATGATTGGGATATAGCATTTAGAGCACATGATATCAAGTTATGTGAATGCTGATAATAATATGTCAATGAAGTTATGTTGATAGGGGACCCCTTTGCCCTTGCTCGTGTTCATGCTGAAAGGAAAGTCATCTTTGCTCCACCAAGTACGATAATATAGATCTTCCAAGAATATCTTTTAAAATTATTTTAGAAATAATATTTGATGTATTAATCTTACCGCATCTATATATCTTACACATAATATGATAAATATAGAGTGTAAATTAACCATGTATTTAGTCACTCACCTATTTCTACGATTTCATTTTGATTATTCAATTATTTTTTTCTTTAAGATCGTATCTAATGTTATGTTTTTATTCTATTTTGATCACATACTGTTAAAAAATTAACGATAATGTCGATGTGTCATTATAAGATATGACAAGTCATCATTAGAAAAAATAAAAAAAATATATAATGTCTACAATTTT